TTTTTTTTTTTTTTTTTTTTTTTTGCAGTGCATTGGTTGGTCTTTTTTTCCCTGCTGTGACGGGAATAATGGCTGGTTCTAATAGATCAGCTTCACTGAAGGATACTCAGCGTTCAATTCCTATTGGAACACTGGCTGCAACTCTGACAACAACTGCATTATATCTGGTCTCTGTGTTGTTGTTTGGAGCACTGGCAACTAGAGAGAAATTGTTGACGGATAGGTAAAATATGTCATAATACCAAGTGAAATGATGTAAATGTTAGATCATTGGAAATTCTGAGACATGACTATTTGAGTGGCTTATAGCGAGTGAGGCACTGCATTATCCATTATTTGTTTATTACTATTTGCTAGTGAGTGATTTGGTGGGAAAGATCTCTGACATTGGTCAAATCCTTGAGAATATGTGATAGCTGAAACATTATGTTTTTTTCCTTTAAAAATCATTGTTAGGCATCAGATTCAAAGTTGAAGTATAAATAGAAAGTTGGGCAGTCCTTAGAGATGGGAGGGTGGAATTCGATACTAATACATTATTTATGTAGGCTTCGGTTGAGCAGTTCAGAATATTTCTGTACTGAACCAAAATTTCTTATGTAGGCTTCTTACTGCTACGGTTGCTTGGCCTTTCCCAGCACTTATTTATGTTGGAATTATTTTATCAACCCTTGGAGCTGCCCTTCAGAGTCTGACAGGAGCCCCTCGCTTACTAGCAGCCATAGCCAATGATGATATATTGCCTATTCTAAACTATTTTAAAGTAGCAGATGGCAGTGAGCCATACTTTGCAACCCTCTTTACTGCATTTCTCTGCATCGGATGTGTGATAATTGGGAATCTTGATCTTATCACACCTACCGTAACCATGTTTTTCCTACTTTGTTATGCTGGTGTGAACTTATCCTGCTTCCTTTTGGATCTACTAGACGCTCCCAGTTGGCGTCCACGCTGGAGATTCCATCATTGGAGCCTCTCTCTTCTTGGAGCATCACTTTGTGTAGGTATGCTATACTTTCAAATATGTAGTGAGTGATTTTTTAGAATCAAGTGCTTTTATTGTTTAGTTTTTCTGATTTTAGCTCAGAAACTTTCTATTTTGTTCCATTACTTGAAATCTCAGAGTACCTATTTGGCGCACTACTCTACAAAAAGTAGCTATAATAAGGAGAAATCTCTTAGCGTTTTTTTTTTCCCATTTTATCTACGTGCGTACAATTGCTAATAAATTCAATGATGAATAGCATTATAATTCGTGCAACATATTCAACAATTTCTTGTATGTTCTACTTGTTATGAATGAAAAATAAGGTAATATTTTTCTTTCTGATGTTTCTATTGGACACGTGACTAACAAAATCTAAGGTTCGAAATATTTGCATCAACTAACTGTTATTTATTGGACATGAGATACGTTTTGCTAGTTGTTAGAACCATTTATTTGCCTGTCATCTCCTGCATGGCTCTCTCTATCTCTCCCTCCGAACCAATATGAGTTGTCCTTTACTCAATTTCTTTCTTTGTTTACAGTGATAATGTTCTTGATCTCGTGGTCATTCACGATAGTGTCTCTAGCTCTTGCAAGCCTTCTATATTATTATGTATGCCTTAGAGGTAAGGCTGGGGACTGGGGTGATGGTTTCAAGAGTGCATATTTCCAACTTGCTCTTCGCAGTCTTCGTTCGCTTGGAGGTGAGCATAATACCTATAAACACTATCTTGACTATAGTTTTTGGGTCATTTGCTTTATGGTGGTGTTTTTGGTTTCATTTAATTTGGATGTTCATTCTATAACTTGTTCTGTCGTGGAGGACCATTTGCACTGTTATAGATACGTTCGGTTATTAACTTTGTAATTACTGATTGTGGAAAGGCAGTGGGAAGGGGTATGGTAACCTGAATTCTTTTTAAGGATTTTTTTCCCTGCATGCTTTCACTTTGTTATAGAGCTTTGTATCTGCTTTAACTATGGGGACTTCACTAGGTCTTAGACCAGGAATTTGGCTTACCAATCATGTTAAAGTTTAGTAGAATTTGGCCTACCATTAATGTTAATGTTCCAACTCCTAGGAATTCGTAATGCTTGGTTTGTCCAAGGTTAACAGTTTTCTCTTTTTATCCTGGGAGTCATACAGGACGTGCCTTTCTTTTTTCTTCTCCTTCGTTGTTTGCGAGTTTGATGACTCGTTCGCTATCTTTGGCTTACATATGAGTGGATGTACTGCTGTAGATGTTTGTTACTGTTGTTAATATAGCAGTATATTTATATTACAGCTAGCCAAGTCCACCCAAAGAATTGGTATCCCATTCCCTTGATATTTTGCCGGCCATGGGGAAAGCTGCCAGAAAATGTACCCTGTCACCCTAAACTTGCAGATTTTGCAAACTGCATGAAGAAAAAAGGCCGTGGAATGTCCATATTTGTCTCCATTCTAGATGGAGATTACCATGAACGGGTTGAAGATGCAAAAGCTGCCTGCAAGCAGCTTGCTACATATATTGATTACAAACGCTGTGAAGGTGTGGCAGAGATTGTTGTGGCTCCCACAATGTCTGAAGGTTTCAGGGGGATCGTTCAGACGATGGGTCTCGGAAATCTCAAGCCAAATATTGTAGTGATGCGATATCCAGAAATATGGCGTCGTGAAAATCTAATAGAAATTCCGACTACTTTTGTTGGAATAATTAATGACTGCATTGATGCTAACAAAGCAGTTGTCATTGTTAAGGGTCTGGATGAATGGCCTAATGAATTTCAGAGGCAGTATGGAACTATCGACTTGTACTGGATTGTGAGAGATGGTGGTCTTATGCTTCTCCTCTCTCAGCTTCTCCTTACAAAGGAGACCTTTGAAAGCTGTAAGATTCAGGTGTTCTGCATTGCAGAGGAGGATTCCGACGCGGAGGGCCTCAAAGCTGATGTCAAAAAGTTTTTGTATGATCTTCGGATGCAAGCTGAGGTGATCGTTATAACGATAAAATCATGGGACACACAAGTGGAGGGCGCGCAACCAGACGAATCAATGGAAGCCTTCACTGCTGCTCAAGGGAGGATTGCTAGTTATTTAGGTGAAATGAAGGCAGCAGCTAAGAGCAGAGGTACCACACTCATGGCTGATGGGAAGCCTGTCAGTGTGAATGAGCAGCAGGTTGGGAAGTTTCTAAATACAACTCTCAAGTTGAACTCAACAATTCTGAGATACTCGAGGATGGCTGCTGTCGTGCTCGTTAGCCTCCCGCCACCTCCTGTCGACCATCCCGCATACTTCTATATGGAGTACTTGGATTTGTTGGTTGAGAACGTGCCTCGGCTCTTGATCGTTAGAGGATACCGCAGAGACGTTGTAACTTTGTTCACTTAGGTTTCAGTTTCTTTCTTACTTCAGTGTTAATTCCTTGCTTGCTGTTCATATTGACTTCCATTTTTACCTTTTTTTACCTTTTCTTTTCTTCCAAAGTCTTGTAGCATTTTAGATTACAATCATTCTTTGTACTATCCATCACAGGTCTTCTTTTTCAGCTTTATATTACCATATTAGTCTCAGAAATTTTGAAATTAAATAGCCATTTTCGAGATGCAATTAACCTTTTGTAAGACTTTTATGCTATCAGACATTAGCTATTGAATCCGACATTTGTTATTGAATTTGTACTTAAAAGTTCCCAAGGATTTCATTTCTCACTTTTTATTACTCTCTATTGGGTATTCTTCTTTATGACTCGAACTCGACCAACTCGAATTATCTAACCCAAACCATAAAAGTTGGGTTGGATTAATTCATAACATACCAACAAGAATCAAGCGGAACACAGAACAGCAAAGAGTTGGCTCGATTGAACACTGAGAAACTATATCATGAATGAATCCCTAAGTCGTAGGAAAAGAAAATGATAAAGCACCAAAATCAAACTCCTGCAAAGCAACCAGCGCTCATAGATAGTTCAAATCAGGAAGGGAGACGTAACCCTAATGCAGGAATTCAAGCTTTTCCGCACCGAAATCAGTTGTTTCGGACAAAATTGCTAGAAAACAAGCTTATGCATGCAACATGAAAGTAGAAAAATTTGGAAAACCCAAAAATAAATAGAAACCGATGAATACTTACGGTGTCGGAAGAAGACGACGACCAAGAAGGAAGCCATGGAAACTGCGAGCTCTCCACGGCCAGAGGAGAAAACGATAAATCTGGGAGGGGTAAGATCGTAAAGTCACAGCAATTCGTAATTTAGAAAAAAAAATTTGGACCATTTCTCGATTTGTGCGTGTCATCCTTGCGCAGGGGCCATGCTAATCTTCTCTGTATCGTTCCAATTTTATCGGATGTCCCCGAAGGGACGACCTAATGCTACCGCCTGCGCTATATAAACACTCAATATATTTGAAACTAAGCGATGTGGGATAGTAAGAGATTGGGCCGTGCATAGGCCCATATTAATTGTTATTTATTACGAATATTTATTTTCTTTGTTCATTTACAGGTCGAAAGGCATTAAAAATGGAACATTTTATTTATGCTCTGTTTGCGATAAATTACTTCAAATTTCATAAATTTTTTTTAAATAATTACATATTCCATAGCTTTTTAAAAAAAATAATTACAAATTTCCTCTATTTTTGAGATCCCACGTCGGCTAAATTAGTGAATGATCATGGGTTTATAACTGAGAAATACTAACTCCATTGGAATGAGTCATTTTCAGGAAGCCCAAAGCAAAGACATGAGAGCTTATATTCAAAGTGGACAATATCATATCATTGTGGAGAGTCATGTTCATCTAATACGTCATACTTAACATCATGAAAGCGGTAAAATTGAATAATGTACTAAACCATAAAATTTTCGATTTTCGAAGCTTAGCTATCATAAACCTATGTCAATTAGGCTCCTAAACCCGATTACTAATAAATTTATGTATTTCTTTATTAAAAGTATTCTCTTCCCTTATTGTTGACTTTCATATTCTCAATTTTAAACCCCGAATCAAATTTCGTCATATTATTTCTTGAATAATTTCAATTTTTATTAAATTATGTAAAAAAAAAAATTAATTAATTAATAATGTATTTTTTTTTTTAATTTTCTTCTTTTAAAAAATATAATAGTCCTACCAGTCAATTTTAACGTTTTCTAACGGTCCTGCATAATTTTAAAAATATTAAAATATTAAATATCAAATTGAAATTTTTAATTATGGAAAAGAAATGGCTTTAGATAAGGTCAAAGCTTTTATTTTATTTTATTTTATTTTATTAATTATAAATATTGTAACTAAACTGAGGTCATTTTTTAATTTTAAAAAAGGGAGGGCTTGAAATAAGTCAACTAGGGATTTTATTATTACTTTTTAAAGACTCATCCCAGGGACTATGGGGAATGCATGTGTTTATATATATGTATGTATATAGCATGCATTTATTTAATTTAATAAGAAGTTAATATAAATAAGCATTTACCCAACGCCATTTTAAGGTCATTTAAGATATAATTTATTGATCGTAAGTTGAAACAATATTTTGCCAACTAACATTACTTATACATTTGTGTCTCTCGGTATGGTCAACATCTAGTGTTTTTTCAGTAATGTAAAGCCCTCAGACCGCGTATTTTTTTGAACGAGGCCCTCTGTAACACGACAAATCTAGTCTTTTAAATATTTTTTATTTAAATTATATATATATTATATTATGTATTTAATACACATTAATTTTTTAAATATTTAATATATCAAATACAATTTAAAAAATTATCTTTTATATTAGTTATATAATATATTAAACAACGCTCCAAATTATTAATTTTTTTTCATTTAATTTATGAAATATTAAGACCACAAATTTATAATTTAGTTATAGAATTGAACTAAAAATATATATGATAATACAAAGGGAAGGAATTGTTATGTCTACATAATATCATTCTCAATTTTTCAAAAAAAAAAAAATATATATGTTTATAATTTCCAAATTCATTTTTAAATCTAGTTGCAAATAAAGGTGTATATGAGTTAGATTGGAAAAATATTTTGGACCAATTCGAAATTTTAGATTAGTTGAGTTGATGACACGAGTATCTCGAACAGAGTTCACAACAAAACCCTTATTTTTGGGTTAGATGGGTTGTCCGGTTACTCTTTTTTAATTTTTTAAAAACTCATATTTATCCAATAACTAAAATTCTAATGTCACAACACATCACTAACATCGTAAAAATATTCATTTTCATAATAATTTTAAAAGTAACGTAGTTGGTCGGGTTGACTCGATCAAAAATATGTAAATTCCTTAACTTGGACAGTCCAAGTTGATTGAGTTATCGTAGGATATGAACCTCCCGAGTTTCAAAAATATTTTTAGTTTAAAATTTTTTTAAAATTTCAGTTTTTTAAAATCGTAATTTTTTATTATTTAATTTTTTCAAATAAAATATTAATGAAAATAAGGTAATTTTTTAAGTTACAATATTTTTTTGGTATTCATTTATTACTTATTTTCCATAAATAATGAATTTATATTTGTTTTACGTTTATAATAAAGTTCAATTAACTTAGTTGTATGATAGGGACCTAATTAGATCTTAATTAATATCACATTTACTAAATTAATTTTATAAAATAGTCATAAACTCATTAATTTCAACTCTCGTGAATAGGCCTATCCAAATTAATATTAAATTAAGTTTAATTATTGCACAAATTATTATAATTTCAGAAATAAAAATTGATTTTTTTTTTTTTTTCTGGAGCAGTTAAATTAAAAATTAGAAACTAAATCAGGAAATTGAGAGGGTGAAAATTTATTTAAATTCAATTTTTTAAATAGAAACTTTGATTTTGGTTGGACGACAATAGTCTGAAAAAGTCGATAATCCAAAGCGATTTCAAAGGCAAAGGACTCGAGTCAGTCCGATTTGGAGATACGACGTGTCGTATATTCCCTTTTAACTGCTTTAGTAAAACGTGAATCTTCTTAAAATGATTAAATTTAGAAACCTCAGCTACCCAAATGTGACCGTACCATTAACCGCCAGGTGGCAGTTCGTTGTCAAATTCCGGAGTCTGAAACCATAGTGTACCGGCTGTCGTCGGTCGTTTCTCCTTCTTTCTTCCGGTCTTCTAACTTTATAACCCATTTTCCCTCTCTTCCGTCTTCCCGCCTTGACTTAAGCACTCTCTCTTCCCCTTCTTTTATTATCCGGTCGCCTGAGTTCTCTCACCTCTCGTCGTCGCCAGGTCAGTTTTTCTTCTCCTTCTCTCTCGGAATCTGTGAGTTGATTTTTGTTTTTAAAATGTTTGAAAATGTGAAGCTCTGTGAAATGGCGATGGCGATTGCGGTTTTTGTTGTTGTTTTTGTTTTTGCACGGAACAGTGATAATGCGACTTGAATCGTCTCATATTCGAATTTGAGTCTTTCTGGCGGATTTTGAAATGCTTGTATCTCCATTAACAGAGCTTGTTTTGATTTTGCTGTGTTTTCGCCGACTTGAATGCTTCATAATTTTTTTGTGATTTTGATTTTGCTGTGTTTTCGGCGACTTAAATGCTTCATAATTTTTTTGTGATTTTGACCTCTTCTGTTATATAGGTTTCAATTTCATTTCGATTAGGTTTAGATCTCATTCTGGTTCCTGCATTGTTTATGATTTTGATTCTGTGCAAATGTAAATGATTCTAAATCGATTCTCTTCATTTAGATATCAGCGTTTTCCTAATTGTGGAAATGGTTTTCAAGTAGAACTCAAATGGATAGAAGTTGAAATTGGAGTTTACTGGAATTAAGTTGATTTGTGTTTTCAAAATGTTGATCGTTTTTTAAGACGAAGCCCCAATTACAGGGGCAAAACTGAGATTTAATCTTAAACCATTATTTATCAGGCTTATGCATTTTCTTGGTAAACAAACACAATGAGGCAGAGCTGATATTACTTATTTCTCTCTTAATTTGGGGGAATTTCATTTTCTGAACTTCTTTGTTTTTGGTTGACTGTTTCAGTGAGAAATAAGAATGGAGCAACCGAACAGTAACGCCGGTGACGACCAAGGGATCAGAAGAAGATCCTGTGGCTGCACGAAGGAAGATTTTCTTCCAGAGGAGTCGTTTAAGAGTTGGGGGAATTATACAAAAGCGCTGAAGGCGACGCCAGCTCGCCTCTTGGACCGGCTCATGGCCCGGTCGGCCGAGCATACCGAGCTTGTCGAGATGAAGGCTCAAAGCCAGCACGAGATGAAGAAGAGCCTCACGTGGTGGGACCTCATGTGGTTCGGCGTCGGTGCCGTCATCGGCGCCGGAATATTTGTCCTCACAGGTCTCGAGACTAGGAGACACGCCGGCCCCGCCGTCGTCTTGTCTTACATAATCTCCGGTGTCTCCGCCATGCTTTCCGTCTTCTGTTACACTGAGTTTGCCATCGAGATTCCAGCCGCCGGTACGTGCTTCTTTCCAAACCTATCTCTCACATGCTTCACATCGTAATAAAATTAATCTAAATGTCCAATAATTTTATTTAAATCGTTTTTGAGTTTTTTAAATTATGAATAATATATAATAACTCACGAGTGAAATATGAGGGTCATATTCTCATTTATTATTTATTAAATTAAAAAAATATTCTAAAATTCCATTTATACCCCTATGTCCCTAGTTTTCCAAATATTACATTTTTATTATCCCCAAAACTTCTCTTTTGCCCTTTTTAACCTTAACTTTTAGCTAAGTTGTGAGTTTAGATCAGATTTTATCAATTTTTACTCTCAAGTTTTTCAATAATGTTCAATTTTAGTCTTTTTGTTTATTCTTATTTATTAATTTATTTTTTTTAAAAAAATTATAATTAATATAGTTTCTATGAATTTTGTCACTAGCTCTGGATTAAATGTGTAAAATATAAAATCTAGAGATCAATTGAAAGCTAAACTTCAGGGAAAAAAAAGATAATATTTTGAAATTAAAAGTCTGAAAGGAAAATACACAAAATTGTAGGCACTAAAAATGTATTTTCAAAAGAAAATCTTGAATTTCGGAAGAATAAATTGATAAAATTTCATCCACTTTTTCATTATTTTGATTTGATTTTAAATGAAGTCAAATAGAATTAATTATAAATAATGGTCTAAATTTGAAATCTTAGACCTCATTTAATAAATTTGTTTGGGTTTTAAAAGTGGGCTTCTTTTCATACCGTTTTATACAATTTATCAATGTCAAGGATTTGTGTGAATTCTTAACCAAATTTCAAAGATATATATAATTATTATAAAAAGTAGACAAAGAAAAGAAAAAATAAATAGAGCTTGTAAGCCTAAATTTTAAAAAAACTAAAAAAAATAAATGACTATGAAATGGAATATTAATATTTAAACTATTACCGTTATTGGTTTCAAACTATAATTTATACAACTGTCAAATAAGTTTGAGAAAAATAATTTTAAAGATAAGGTAGAAGGTCCTTTTCAGGTCTGCTGAAATTTCCTTAATAAATAATGCTAACATGATAGCACATGTGGCAGGTTTCTAGAGATAGAGATACATAAGATAGTGTGACATTTTAAATAATTTAACTTTTATCCAACTTCAAATAAATAATATAAATTTACTTTGTTGATAGCTGTTATTATTATTATTGCTTTGAGAAGGGAAATTAATTAATCAATGAATATACAAAATACACAAAGTTGGGTTCTTGAAACAATCGGTTGTGATTTAAATTTGATTGGGATGACTGTTTCATTGGTTTTATGTTGTTTATCGTATTATTTAATTTATAAACTTTAATTAGTATTTTGATAAATCTTTTTATCTTTTTTTAAAACGGTAAAGCATTGAACTTTCAATAACTTTGTTCATGTTTGGCCATTTACTGGCATGAATCAATTTAAATAACTTTTTACTATGATATCATTTTCTTTTTAGGTGGATCATTTGCCTATCTAAGGGTAGAACTAGGCGATTTCGTGGCATTCGTCGCTGCTGGCAACATTCTTCTTGAATATGTTATCGGTGGCGCTGCTGTAGCCCGTTCATGGACGTCATACTTTGCCACCCTCTGCAACCACCAACCAAATGATTTCCGCATCCATGTCTCTGTTTTAGCTGAAAACTACAACCGGCTAGACCCCATTGCCGTCGTCCTCAGTATCGTCATTTGTGGGTTTGCAGTGGCGAGCACTAAAGGCTCCTCCCGCCTCAACTACGTTGCCTCCATTTTACACATTACCGTGATTGTTTTCATCATCATTGCCGGGCTGACGAAAGCCAACCCCAAAAACTTAACTCCCTTTGCCCCCTTTGGCCCTCGCGGCATCTTCGTAGCTTCTGCCGTCTTGTTCTTCTCATACGTTGGATTTGATGCGGTTTCGACATTGGCAGAGGAGACTAAGAACCCGTCTAGAGATATTCCTATTGGTCTTGTTGCATCCATGGTGATCATCACTTTAGCCTATTGTATTCTTGCGGCTACCCTCTGCCTCATGCAGCCTTACCAGAAGATTGATGAAGACGCACCATTTGCAATGGCTTTTGAAGCCGTTGGATGGGGTTGGGCTAAGTACATTGTTGCTCTGGGTGCTATAAAAGGCATGACCACTGTTCTGTTAGTCAGTGCAGTTGGTCAGGCACGGTATCTCACGCACATTGCCAGGACCCACATGGTCTCCCCCTGGTTTGCCAAAGTCAATGAAAGAACTGGTATGGTTGCTAATAGTACTATTTATCTCAACTAAATGTTTTTAACTTCTGATTGTAGCTGACTTACTAATTTATAAGCAGTCTTTGTGCCCCACTACTTTCTAGGATTGATGTGGTTAGAAGCTTACCATCTATCGTATGCTTGTAGGGTACTCTGAAGTCCGTTAGACGCCATATTAAAAGTTTTGAAGTCTTTTAAATATATGAGTCGATAAGTTCTATTAGACTCAACATCATACTGATGTTCGCGTTTAATTTTCTGAACAGGAACTCCAGTGAACGCAACAGCATCAATGCTGGCTGCAACAGCATTGATTGCCTTCTTCACACCCTTGGAGATAATCTCAAACCTTCTCTCAATTTCCACCCTCTTCATCTTCATGCTGGTAGCCGTTGCCCTTATCGTCCGACGCTACTATGTCAGCAGCGAAACAACGTCGTCCAACAGAAAAAAGCTTATAATCTACTTGGTTCTGATAATGGGATCTTCAACCGCAACTGCCGTTTACTGGGCCACAAGCGATGAGTGGATCGGCTTCGCAGTAACCACTCCGATATGGTTCCTCTCAACTCTAGCCCTATGGATCAGCGTCCCACAAGCCAAGAAGCCACGGGTGTGGGGCGTGCCACTGGTCCCATGGGTGCCTTCAATATCCATCGCCATAAACTTTTTCCTTCTCGGGTCCATCGACGCAGCTTCATTTGAAAGGTTTGCAATCTGGACTGGAATTCTATTGGTTTACTATTTCTTGCTTGGATTGCACGCTTCTTACGACACTGCCATGGAATCGAAGATCCAAGCAGCAGAAGAAAGTAATAGCAGTGTGTGAATGGGAATCCAAAGAATATAGAAATCGGGACTAATTCGGATTTATGAAAGGGATCTCATCTTGTTGGTTAGTAGAGGTAAAATTTATACTGTATTGGTTGGTTGGTTGGTTGGTTGGTTTAGTGATGGTTGGTGTGTTGTTGATATCCGTTTGAAAATGTGAGTTTATTGTTATTTTGAAAGTGGGTAGTGTTCTAAGATCAGTTATGTATACTTTTGATGCTAAACTCATCATTAATCTCAACTTTACACATTTTGGGAATTTCCAATTTAGATTTGGGTAGATTTATTGAAACATATTCATTGTTAATATTTTTATTTATGAACTACCAATTTTTTTTTTTGTATTCATTGTTATTATTTTTATTTATAGTTCAATATTGGTTTCAACTTTTTCCTTTTTCGTGGGACATTTAATGTCCATATAATCCAAACAATCAAAACTATTCTAGTTGAGTGACTTTTTAGTACTTATCTTTGAAAATAAGAGACAAATGTTCACAATTACATCGACTCAAAATATCTAAACTACCCAACTGCGAGACTTGTGTGACTTTGACAAATGTTCAGATCGACTTGACTATCCAGCTCAAAGGGTTGGATGACTTTTTCGTGCTTGTCCTAGAAAATAAGAGATAAATGTTCACTAGAACAATCCAAATTACCCAGCTCAAACTGTAAGGGTTGGATGACGTTTTCGTCCTTGTATTTGGAAATAAGAGACAAATGCTCAGATCGACCCGAACAATCCAAACTACCCAACTCAAATTATAACGGTAGGGTGACTTTTTGTGCTTGTCCGATCAAATTTTAGCTATTAACGGAAATGTAATGTACTAGATTAGGTCAGAAATTTAGAATTTATAAATAAAGATATTGTCACATAAAAATAGTCATCTTACCAAGAAACGCACCCCGTAAGGTAAAAAAGATCCCAATGGTAGAAAAAGTAAATAAAACTGAAATTCTTCGTCTCTTTCACTGTCTAATGAAAAACCCATATACCTGCAACTCCCTTCAAGTTCGTTACTACTACTCTCCAGTCTCTGCTTCTTGATTTGAGCTATGATCTTCTGCAGAACCCTAATTCGGTAAAGATTTCCCTTTCATAATGGAGGATTCGGAGGGCGTTCTCAGCTTCGATTTCGAGGGCGGCCTCGATGCCGGCCCCACTAACCCCGCCGCCACCTCCTCCTTGCCCATAATCCAGTCAGATTCTTCTTTCCTCCCCGCCGCTTCCGCCGTCTCCAACTCCGTTGTCGGCGCCGTCGGTCCTGCTGTTACAGCTGATGCTCCTGGCGCCCCAACCGGCAACGTCGGAAATCGGAGGAGCTTCCGGCAAACGGTTTGCCGTCATTGGCTTCGAAGCCTCTGTATGAAGGGTGACGCCTGTGGCTTCCTTCACCAGTATGATAAGTCTCGGATGCCCATTTGCCGGTTCTTCCGTCTCTATGGCGAGTGCCGTGAGCAGGATTGCGTGTACAAACATACCAATGAAGATATTAAGGAGTGTAATATGTACGTCTTGGAACTTGGAATTCAATTTATGTCTTTTATTTGTTGGCTCTTTGTCAGATTTACATTCTTGGTTCTTTAATTTCTTTGTATTCTTTAAATAGGAGGTGATCAATCTCTGCTCTTATCGTTTATGCCCTTCTTCTTAATCCCTAGTTGTTGAATTTATTAGTATCATATGCAGTTCTTAGATTTTAGACTGGGGATTTTTTGCCCTTCATCTTTAATATATGTAATTTTGCAAACAAAATCTACATTCTCACATGAGTATACAAAAGAGCATCAAGATTGCAAATGAAGTACAGTTGCATAAGTCGTTGGCACTACGAACAGAAACTTATCCAAATCACAAGCCTCCTTCCTATCTCTTTCCTTTCTTGGTTACTCTAGAATTCCCTTTTAACCATAAAGCTCACGAGATGGCCTTAGCTTCATTAATCCATAGAGTTTCAAGCCTTTTCTTTAAAGTTTTTGCCACCCAACAACTGTGTCATTATTCTTTTAGTGGAACTATCAAGGACCTGTGAAAAGGACCCAAGAGAGAAAAATAAAGAAATGGAGTATCCCTACACCACTACTATATGAGCAAAGTAATAGTAGGTAGTGTTGGACCTTGTTTGAATGCATACTTCTTTTATTGTGTTTTCCCTCCATCAATGAAATTAATGATTCCTCTAAGGATATTTAAGTTTTAAGTTTATGCATGTGTATGGCTGCAATAAGAACATAACTAATACATGTAGAATTGATGTTATAGTTAGATATATTTATGGTGCTAGATCTTGTGAAGTCCTCATTCAAGTTTTTACACAATGATTCCCTGGTTTTACTTGGACGACATTTATTGCATTAACATAATCTTTTAAGTTAATTTCTGCAATACATCTTTTTGGACCGATTTTTGTTCTTTAAAAAACATTGGATGTTATACATCTGACGCCTAAACACTTTAACTGCAGGTACAAGTTTGGTTTCTGTCCAAATGGTTCTGATTGTCGATATAGGCACGCAAAGCTGCCTGGACCTCCACCTCCAGTGGAAGAAATCCTTCAGAAAATACAGCAATTAGGTTCATACAATTATGGTTCCTCAAACAAATTCTTTTCACAACGTGGAGTTGGCTTATCCCAACAGAATGAAAAATCTCAGATTCCTCAGGGTCCGGCCCCTGTTACTCAAGGAGTTTTAGGAAACCCTTCTGCAGCAGAATCTGCTGATGTCCAACAGCCGCAAGCTCAACAGACTGCACAACAAACCAGCCAGACTCAGACACAAGGTCTTTCTAATGGCCAGCCCAATCAACTAAACACAACTGCAACGTCTTTGCCTCCAGGAATATCTAGGTGTGTCTGATGCGACCTGAAGTCTTTTTGCATATTACTTCAACGCAGTTTTTGTATCATATGGAAACAGTGTTGCAGAGATTTGTTAATTAACCTTCAGCACTATCATATTTGTGATTTTGTTTGGTTACTTTAAGCCGTAGTAGTCAACATTGTTTTTCTTCCTATTAATTTGTAGTCCTTGTACCACAAGAATCTTTAGTTAGAATGGGATTCCAACTTAGTTCCTTTTAAAATTTTGAGAAGAATTGCTCCTTTGGTAAGCACAATACGAGCTGCCTTTGGGCTTGGTGCTTGGTGAAGGGTATCATTTTTTCCCTCAATATCAGAAAACTTGCTTTCATTGGGAAGAAACGCAAGAATATAGAAGGGCATGGATGGTATCATCCTAAGGTATTAATTATTTTACCAGTTCTGTATCAAGCTATTGAATTCTATGCCTAAGCTTCATTACCATGTGCTCATGTTCCATTTCAATTCATCTCATGTCAATTGCCAAGTGTCAAGAAACTACTTTCCTCAACACTTTGTTGGTTCTATTATTGATTGGCTAGAATCTATTGGCTCATAGCTCATACTCTGTTATGTTAGGGTCTCATTAAATCTGTGGTTTGACACTTCTTGCAGACCTTTTTGATTTAGTTTGCTTTAATACTTGAAGTTTATGTAGTCTCTCCAGCTTTATAATTATACCCCCTTTGTAATTTATGCTAGGTAGAGTTGTTTTCTGTAGAACTTTATTAGCAAGGGGGATACCCTATTTTGGTTCTGTAACCTTTTCCATTCATCTTCTGATAAAGACAAGTGGTTACCCATTCTTAATATAATTTTGAAAAAAGAAAAAAAAAGCTCAGACTCTTACATGAACCTTTTAAATACTCTGAATGTCCTAATTTATTTTTGAAAATTAGGTACTTTATTGTTAAAAGTTGCAACCGAGAGAATTTGGAATTATCTGTACAACAAGGGGTATGGGCAACTCAAAGAAGCAATGAAGCCAAACTTAATGAAGCTTTTGATTCTGCTGATAATGTTATTTTGATTTTCTCAGTCAATCGGACTCGGCATTTTCAGGTGCTAATCATTCACATTGTGTTTGTGTACGACACTACTTGGTCATTGAGGATCGATGTGTGTTTGTTTGAGATAATCATACTGATTTAGCAATTGCTGCTTAGGGTTGTGCAAAGATGATGACCAGAATTGGTGGATCTGTCAGTGGAGGCAATTGGAAATATGCACATGGAACTGCACATTATGGGCAAAACTTTTCACTCAAATGGCTGAAGGTTTCATTTTTTTAGATCTATAGTTTTATGCAAAAAGTATTGTCTGTATTTTCTATGATACCTGGAAGCTAGCTAAAATCTGAATTTGACAAATGCATGATAAAGCTTAGAGGTCAATCTAAATTATGTTGTGAAGGATGATTTTGTTGCTGTCGATTTGAGTCCTGTATGATGCGATGAATAATTTTGACTTTGTTACTTGCAGTTATGTGAACTATCCTTCCAGAAAACTCGTCATTTGAGGAATCCATATAATGAAAACTTACCAGTAAAGGTATAGAATCCCAAGCTTGATGAAGAAAGATTTCTATTTATATTAACATCTGCAGATGTTTTTGGATGCTTCTACTTTCACTTGTGTTGTGAACTCTTGAAAATATTTCCCACTTCTTTTATTTCTTATGTTTATTATTATTATATTGTTCTGCACCTTCTGGTGATAAGAGATATTACTGATCTTGTTGAAATCAAATTATCTGAGCATTCTTAAGAACTTGCAATCTTGTGGATGAAAGTTTGTTCTTCTTTATTTTTCCAAGCTTTCTCTAGGATTTAGTTTCAAGGAAGTTACTAGAAATGACACTCTACCTCATGTAGACCATGCGATCTTTATTTTACTTAATCTTACAGGAATCATTTAACAGAAAGGGCTAACATGATTGATACAATCATGAGGGATGGAAAATCCTGATTGTCCTCGCTCTTTAACTTGAGAGCATGAATTTTGTCAAGAATTTGAGAAAAGCACAGTAGGCAGCAATAGACTAACATTAGACTGTCAGAACCATTGCAAGTAATGCAAACTTCATTTTCCTGCTAAAATAGCCACCACTTCATGAATTCTTTCCTTGACTGCAATTAAAAACGTTGGCGCAAACATGATAGACTTAAATAAAGGCTTGAACCCAACAAAAACATGAAATGATTCCAATGGAATCTTGAACATGTATGCTGATCCATTCAGAATGCAGAACAGCAGCCGTAATTCTAGGGGGCATTGTACCTCCGCCCATCATCCTTGTTCACTAGTCTTTGTGTTGTTTCTAAGTTACTGTGCTGTTGCTTGTTTTACTGTATCCTCTATTAGTTTTACTGCTCTTCTGTTAATCCTAGTTACTTCTTTGGGTTGGCAAGTCTGTTGAGTTGGTTCAATGTTGTTATCAAAAGACATTTTTGTAAAGAATACTTCAAGATTTCTCCAAGAGCAGTGTTGCACTATTCAGATTGCTAATGTGGCCGGGTAGAGTTTAGCATCGCGTTTATCTTGTAATATCTGTTTAATTGGCACCCTGTTTCTGCTCATTGCTTTGATTTGTTTCCTGTCGACCATCCATGTTCGTGGAGGATAATTGTTTGAAGAAGATATTTCTTACTTCATATCCTGTTCTGCAATCAGTGGTAGCATTGGATACTAATTGAGCCATCATTTTTCTCGTATTCTTACAAGTGTAGATCAGTAGAGACTGCCAAGAGCTAGAGCCCTCTATTGGTGAGCAGCTGGCTTCTTTGCTTTATCTTGAGCCAGATGGTGAACTCATGGTATGCTAACTTTGAAATACATTCCCATGACAAAATAAGGATTACATATGCAAGCAGGCGAGGAAGAAGATGAAATTTGAGGAAGTGATAATGGCAGTTTCAGAATTTAGCTCTAGATGAATTTCCTTAGTTTATTTTTGTTACTTTTGTGATCAGGCCGTCTCAGTAGCAGCAGAATTAAAACGAGAAGAGGAGAAAGCTAGGGGAGTTAATCCTGGCAGTGGAAGTGAGAACCCAGATATTGTCCCGTTCGAGGATAACGAAGAAGAGGAAGAGGAAGACAGTGAAGAGGAGGAGGAGGAGGAGAGCCTTGGCCAGTCCGTTGGTTTACCAGCTCAGGGCAGAGGAAGGGGCAGGGGAATCATGTGGCCTCCACATATGCCAATGGGACGTGGTCCTAGACCCTTTCATGGAATGCCGGGTTTTCCACCTGGGATGATGGGTCCGGATGGGCTGCCTTATGGTCCTGTTACACCTGACGGATTTCCCATGCCTGACATGTTTGGTATGGCTCCTCGTGGCTTTGGTCCATACGGTCCTAGGTTTCCCGGTGATTTTATGAGTCCCCCAGCTGCTATGATGTTCCGTGGACGACCTTCTCAACCTGGGGTCATGTTCCCTCCTGGTGGATTTGGGATGATGATGGGTCAAGGACGTGGTCCCTTTATGGGTGGGATGGGGGTTCCTGGTCCTAACCCAGCTCGACCTGGTCGTCCTATGGGTGTGTCTCCGTTGTATCCACCTCCTGCATTACCATCATCTCAAAACATCAATCGAGCTGTTAAGAGGGACCAAAGGGGACCGGGTAGTGATCGGAATGATAGATATATTACGGGTCCAGACCAAAACAAGGGCCAGGAGATGCCTAGACATGATGAAGAAATGCAATATAAGCAGGCAAAAACTTATCCTGATGAGCAATATGGGATAGGAACCACCTCTAGGAATGAAGAAAGTGAAAGTGAGGACGAGGCACCTCGACGATCGAGGCATGGAGAAGGGAAGAAGAAGCGGAGAGGCTCAGAAGGAGGAGATGCAACTGCAATCTCTGATCAGTGATTACTTGTAGTTAGTTACATCCGACCTGGGACGTCTTCCTGCTTAGGAGAGACATCGTTGAACTTGATGTTGTTGTTGTAAGTTCTAAAACTGGAGTACTCATTTTTCTCTCTTTTCATTTTACACCTTCCATTTTAGGTAACTTTTTGTGAGCAGAGTCATAATTCATACAATGATTTACAAATCTGTAAAAGAACTTTCAGGTAATGGGAAGAATATCATAAAGTCGATATTGGATGATGTGAAGGTGTTATGTCTTCCCCTCGCCCCTCCATATGTGCTATGTCTAATGCCAAGTTCTTTCCATCTCTGGTGGATATATTTTACTTTTGATCTGCTTTACCCATCTACTAGACAGATGGGAGAAATGGAAAGATAGCTTCTAAAGCATAGATTTTGTTTGTTTTTGGGATCGAAGAGTCAATTACGAATTTTTCATGCTCATGATTTGAAATTCAGATTCCGCACTTGATGGTACATTTTCTGTGACATAACTATGTTTATCTACTTATCTTGAATTGTTTTTAAGAATGAAGACTATTTCTATAGATTAATAATTACGTTACGTTCATCTACTTATCTTGAATTATTTTTAAGAATGAAGACTATCTCGATTAATAAATTACGTTACGTTTATCTACTTATCTTGAATTATTTTTAAGAATGAAGACTATCTCTATAGATTAATAATTACGTTACCTACTAGTCTTCAACTATTTTACAAGTAAAAACTATTCCCACATTTAGCATGTTTTTTTTTTTCATTGCACTTCTTAAATTTTCTTGTAAGTTATACCCGGTATAAGAAAACAGAATTTCTATTCTATTTATCAATTTTTTGTTAAATTTTATTTTTTTTTTCTTTAAGATAATTCCAAGGATTATCCAATTCATCAAAAAAAAAAAAAAAAAAAAAAAAAAAAAAAAAAAAAAAAAAAAAAAAAAA